TTTATATTCCATCCCTCAAATATTTCATTTTCCTTCTTTTGCTCTTCCAACACAGCTTTACCTTAAATTCTAAACCACCTGGAATGGGGTTACGCTAAATGTCTTTTTTTTTTAATGCATTCAAGATCATATGAGATATTTAGTACTATTCTCAGGCACTAAATCTCATTCATTTAGTGTTAACTCTACTGCTTCTCAATCTCTTACTCTCTCCCTAATCTTTCCCTTCCAATACTCATTTTGCCTCCACCTTTAGCCCTCCCAAAGTCACCACTCCACGTTTTCCTCAGGCTCTTTAAAACCAGTCTCCATCCCCACAGCAGGTTTTCCCAAGAATCTCCACCTCCCTCAACTCGTCACTCATTACCCTCCGTGACATCCAGGGGTTTTGCTCTGATCCTTCATTCTCCCCAACCTCGGATCCCACGCCTACCCCCAGCACCGCCCTACAAAATTTAGGGAACGCCCCCTCACACTCTCCCTGGATCCCTCGAACGTGTCTCTTCCCCTTAAAATCACCGCCCCCCGCACCCACCCTCCCCACTCCCAGAGCCTGCCAGGTCTCCTTGCACCTTCTGAGCCTCTTCTCTTCTCCCTTCAGAGTTTTCAGACATCCTAACCTCTTGGAGTCCTCATGGCCCTCGCCCAACCGCGGGGCATCGCGCGCGCTCCCCCCCGCCCATAGAGCTCCTCCGGGCGCGGCCCTCCGACCTGCCTCCGCGCCTCCCGCAGCCCCTGCAGTCTCTGGCCCAGCTCCCGCCGGTAGCTCTGCGCTGCCTCCACGTTCTCCCGGGCCTCCTGCAGCAGCAGCTCGGGCTCCAGCTCCATCGCCCCCTCGCCCGGCCGCGCAGCCAGCAGCTGCAAGCGCAGTTCCCAACTGCCCGAGGCGCCGCGGAGCGGCCCCGCGAGGCCAAGAGCAAGCGGAAGCACCGCCCCTCCCCGCCCCACGTTGGCCTTGATTGACAGCCAAGCGCCGCGCTTCGCGCCACGGGCGTCTGGGTCCCGGTGCCGCCCACTCCGCAGGCTCACCGGGTCTTCTCCCTACTCCATGCGCACCTCCTGGCTCCAAGCGCTTCTCAGGTCAACGCGTAGAGGACAGGAAAAATGCATAACTACACCTTACGAAGTGTTTCCCCACATCTTATCTCATTCTGGCCTCCTGTATCTCCCTTTCTCAGAGGAAGAAACCGTGGGGATTTCAACCCAGATGGCTCTTAAATCGTCATTGTCCTACCTCCCTAGTAAAAGAACATCCCAGCAGTGGCAGATATTTTAAGAGGTTACTATGAACCGGGCACCAGCGTTGACCAGAGGTAGGTATAGCAATCATTACAGAAGTCTAGAAAAAGTTAACAAACTTTTTCTATGAGGGCCAAGGAGTAAAAATTTGGAGCTTGAAGGTCTATAAGGTCTTTGTTGCAACATAGTAAACGGGCAGGACGGTGTGCAAATAAAACTTTATGGACACTGAAATTCGAATTTCACCTCATTTTCATGTCACAAAATATTCCTTGCAATTTTTTTCAACTATTTTTTTAAAAGTGTAAAACATTCTTTGTTCAGAGGCTATAAAAATCAGGAGGTGTGTCAGATTTGGCCCTGGGCCATAGTTTGCTGACCTCTGGCCAAGGATGTTAGAACTGAAAGTTGCCTCAGCCAGGAAACAGAATGTGATTTGCTCAGTGTTACACAATGAATCTATGCTAGGGGCTAGATCCCAGTTTTCCTGGGCCAGACTGCAGCTCTTTCTACCACATTGTTTTGTGCTAAGTAAATGACACTTGGAACTAGAGAAATTTTGAAAAGGGAAGCCCTTCTGGAGAAAATGGAAAATTAGCTTTATCCTGAAGATAAGGTAGCCACACACAGTAAATACTGTATTAGCCAATGAATCCCCTTTATTGTTTAAGGCAGCCTGAATTGAGTTTTCTGTAACTTGCAACTGAAGGTATTCTAAAGGATACAAGATAAATGAAGGCAGACAGGAAAACTAGGGAGACTCAGGTGTAATTGACTTATGTAAAAGTCATAAATATATACTAAAGATATTTAGGAACATTCTGAATAAATTAAAAGGCCACTGAGGTAGAATCAGGAAAGACTGACAAAAGTAAAATATATTAATATTTATTTACTCTCAGCCTTGGCCTTTATACTCCTAACCTACCAATGAAGAGGGGGATTTGCTTTTACCTCCTCACCTGCAGGTTGTCTTCCACCTGGCTCCCAAGATTCAGTAATACAGAATCAAGAGAAATGACTGAAGAGTCGGGTGGGAAAGGGGAAGCTGAGGCTGAGTATCAAGAGTTTTGCATTGGGTTAGAGATTGAGGGAGAAACTCCAGAGTACTAATGGGGAATAAGGAAATGAGTGGAAAAGAGGATATTAAAAAGACTTATGAATTAGAGACTGTCAGTAGATTTCACAATACAATACAGTATAATATGTGATTCTGGGCTGGATCCATTTGCTACTAAGGGCATCATTGCAACAATTTAATAAACTTGAAGGTTCTGAGGATTCAATGGTAATAAAGTATCAATGTTAAATCCTATTTTTGATGGTTACATTGTGAGTTCATAGAATGTACTTGTAGGATGTTAGCCATTTACTCTCAAAAGGTTTATTCAGGAAAAAAGTTTTTGCACTGTATTTGCAACTTTTCTGTTAAGTTTGAGATTTCTATAAATTTGAGTTTTCAAAATTAAAAAAATATATAGCATTAATAAAAATATTTAAGAGACATGTCAAGATTAGAATCATCTCTTAATTATTGTTGATTGCAGGAATATTTCTTTGTATGAGTTGCTATTTAAAAACTAAGTCCTAAGACTTACTTGTAGCCAGTTGATTCTAAAAAATGTGTTAGTAGTATTAAGTATGCAAAAAGAATAGTCAGTAAAAAATTGTCAGTTGGCAGCTTTTTGAGAAAAAATTGGAGAGGAAAGAGGATGTCTTTGCTGATTAGATGAACAAATATTCTGAATCCATGTTTACCAAACAATTATCTGCTTACAACTTGATATTCCAGATGTTGCAATTTTCTGACAATTACATTCTTATTGTAAATAAATAAATTAGCAAGTTCCTTTGTTTCTTATCTTATTAGCATAAGAAATCTGTGCCCCTGAGAATACACTTGAGAAGTTAATTCTGGATACACTTGAAAAGTCAATTCTAGACCAATGTGATGCCACAAAGATTAAAAAATAAAACAAACAAAAAATCTAACTTTGTAAAGCCCTGTCTGATGGCCTGCTGGTTTCTATCATTGCCACCTCCAAATCAGTCTTCCTGTGTTCAGTCTTCCTCTGTGTTATCAGAGTATTTACTCTTTAGGAACTTGTACTATAAAGTTAAAAACAATGTTTCCAAAAATTTCAAGCCTGAGTGGTTTCATAAGATTTCTTTCAGTTTCTTCTGTATTATTACTTTTTCCTATAGTATGGATATATTAGATACATGTTCCTTGTCTCCTACCAGTTAGATGATGAAGGAAGTAAAGCTGAATGAGACTAAGATTAGTGTCTTAGGTTTATGGAAGTTTTCTTTTTAATTTTTAAAAAATTTCATGTAGTAAAGCCCTCCGGGTGGCGGGGGGGGGGGATCGATTCTGTTCAATTAGCTTTAGAGAACACACAGAATGTACTATGTTCAAGAACATTTAATAAATCTTTTTATTTTTTTTTACTGACTCAATCTGTGCCTAAACCTTCCTATTCCCCTGAACCTATCTTTTCTCCTTTCTCACTGTCAAACCTCTGTAAAGGCCAACGCCCTAATTTAAGCTTCATCATATTATACCTGGACTAATGCCAAATGGTTTTTCCTTATTTACCCCCTCTACTTATCCTACATATATTCACTTTGCTGAACAAATATTTGAGAATGTACTGTATGCCAACCCCTACTTTATCTTAAGACAGATCCAAGTCCTGCCTCTCATTTATCTTCCTAAAACATGTTTTGCAAATGTCACTGTACTTGCAAAACCTTTAATGTATACTTATTAAAGTCAAAGCTTCTTAACCTGAACCAAAACTTCATCTCCAAATATGTTATTCAGTCTTACCTGTTGAGTCAAAGTAGTCTGTTTCTTCTTTCTTAAACAGTGCACTTATATTCTTATCTCCAAGTGCTTACACCCTTCCCCACTTAGTTTTATCCTACCTAAGGTACCTTTCCTCACGGCTTTTTGTTTAGTTAATAATACCTTGATTCATTCAATAGATATTTGTTTAGTATAGGAGTCCCCTCTTATCTGTGGGAATATGTCCCAAGACTGCCCGTAGATGCCTGAAAACATGGGTAGGACTGAACCCTATACATATGCTATGTTTTTTTCCTATTCGTAAATACTTTTTCACTTCTCTTTTGTATGTCCAAATTGCCAGCATCACTACTCTTATGTTTTGGGGCCATTATTAAGTAAAATAAGTGTTACTTGAACACAAGTACTGAGACAGGCAGTCTGATAACTTAGATGGCTACTAAGTGACTAATAGGTAGGTAGAGTATAG